GAAAATAATGGAAATTATTTTGTTGATTAGTATTTAAAATTTTTTTAATAAATAAATGTTTTTCGCCAGCAAACGAAATTTTGATTACTTCTCGGTCCCCCTTACTATTTAAGCATAGAACCTGAAAGAACCTAAAATAACAAGTTATTCGGTTTGAAGAGAAAATTAAAAAAAAAATAGTGAGAATAATACTTACAAAATTTAAGAAAGAACATATTGTGAAATATGAAAAGTGTATAGCAAGTGTTGTTAACGATAAAACGCTGTACGACGTTAGAACTAGTAATAGGGGTAATCAAATAACACACAAAATATATGCTTGCAAATAATTTAATTTGAAAATATACACATCGAAATATGAAGATTAAATATTTCAAAACCAAATTGATTGTTATATACAATACTCAACTTACTACAATAATATATACAATAATATAACATTTACTAATAAAAAAACGTTATCGATGTATCTACGTTGAGGAATCGTTAAAAAATTTCATCGTTTTACAAACTTTCCATAAAACTGTGCTCTTTGCTTTTTTTCCAGATTCCAATTAGATCGAGCACGATACGCCTCGTATGGAATTTTATGGGATCGCACGTGCCAAAAAACTAAGCTAACGGTTCGTGGTGAATTGGTGGGCAACAGGGTCCATGTTGTTTGTATATACCAGAGGGTAGAAACAACTGAGCGAAAAAGCCTATTAGTACACTCAAATATAAAATGTACAACGTAGAAACGCTACAATATCATTTCTACAGCAATTTATTTGTTAGTTTTTTTATCGATAAAATGCAATTTCAGTTACACAAATAATAAGTATTATTAATATTTTATTATGGTAGGTAACTTCTAATGCTACTTTCGATGTAATTTCAAAATTTAAATTAGAAAAGTAAGTTTCAAAGCACCCAACTGGATCAAAAATCACTGGATGATTTCTTTTGTCTATAAATTTTGTCATTACCATCCAGAATCTTAAATTTTAGCATAATTAATGATTTGAAAACAGTTTCATTTCAGAAATTGTAGAATGACACAATAATGAAGCTCAAATTATATTCTATATCAAATAAATTTTTATTAAAATAAATAAATATTAGATAAAAAATTATAGTGTTTATTTGAAAATCGAAAAAAAGAACAAGAAAGATGAAAATAGAAGCGTGAAAATAGGAGGTGACACGATTTATAAAATCTTTTGATATGGATCGTGTACGCAGGTAATTCTTATCAAACATTTATTATACTAATTTTCTCAAAGCTATTTAAGAAAAAATTACAGTTATATACTGTTAACACACTTTTACGCTTATACACTGTTATTGAAATAGTTTTCAATTTATAAAACTGAAAGGATTAATCTTATTGATAGTATACATATATTTCAAAATATTTCCAACTATGTTCACCAATAGGGCACTAAAATAATTTATTCTGTAACAATGGTTACTAATCTGCAGTAAAAAAAGTAAATGTAACATAAAGTTTCATCGAAGAAATGATTCATAGTCGTGTTAATTAATAATCATTGATTGCGTCGGTAGCTTGTGGTAAAACAATAGCAAAATGACAAGTAGTTGATGAAAGAACATGTTTTTGCAAGGGCTGGCAAGGAAAGCAATACATATTACGAGAGAAACGATTTTATATTGTGCACGCGTTGTAACGTTTGCAATGAGACACGTGCCAGCCATGCTTTGTGCCACGTGCCGACCAATCTAAATCTAATAACACAAACAGCCTTACAATAACGTGGGTCGTATGTGCTACCGTTTGGCGGCCAGAGGTAATAGGACACCATGTGAACTAATCGCTCCGAAGTGGTCCTCGAGATCCTGTTTCGCTATTTGTTGATCCTGACGTATTCTCTCGTGGGAGAAGCCATACTCGAACAGAAGGTGTTCACAACGCTACGTTGAACTTGACATAATCGTTTTTATCGAAATTTTGTTTAAATAATAACAATATTTGTTGGACTTTTTGAGAGGTTTACTAAAACATACCACTCTGTTACTTAGGTAGCATATTGGTATATTTTTGCCACGCTTTTATATAATAATTTATTATTTAAAAAGAAGTTTAATCAGATATTAATTAATTTTACTTATCATCACTAGAGTTTATATCTTTAATTTTATAATTACTGAATTATATAAAATCGAAAAAAACCGAGAACAGAAAATTATTCACTTCACATCTTATATACCAACATAGTATATTATACCAACACCATTGTAATTAGTAGTGCATAATTTAAGTGCGATATTTCAGATTATTCTTTAGCATATATTTAACAGTATTCAAACAAACGAAGTCTGGCACCAGAAAGTTCTTGGAGTTACGTTCGATTGAAAAGAAGATTTAATTCGTAACATAATATTACCTATATTGTTGTTCTGTAATTTGGACACATCAATGTTTCATTAAAAAATAACAAGAATTCAATATGCTGGATTTCGTTAAAAAATGAACTGTTTTAACATTAAACTTACCGACGTATAATACACACTTATATGTGTTAAAGTTGTTTTCCCAGTGTATTTTTGATATTTAGTTTATCTTCTTTACAAATAAGCACTTTTATATAAATTTATTTTAACAGAAATAATGTCGCACGTGGTACATTGTTCTATACATACATTTGATCTAATCAGCTTACCCTACATAACATTAGACGGCGCTCTATGACATAGGTTTTGATCGAGAACTTGCGATGTCGCTACTTCACAACAATATGGAAATAAAAACTAAAAAAGAAAGATAAATGAACAAACGGAAAAATATAAAGTAATAAAACATGTAGTTCTTTATCTTTACAAAAATCGTCATAGACTTTAAGGAAAGTTTCTTAAATTTTGCAATTTGAAAATAAACTTGTAAACCGCTCACTTTAGCTGGTGCGGTAGTTACTAGCACTAAAGTGAAATTATTAATTTATAAATAGGACTCTAATAATTTGATTATTGATTTCTAGTCACTTGGGTTAATCGATTAATTACATTAGTACATGCCAATCTAGTAATTATAGCAAAAATATGATAATTTAATATCAACATCATAAAAAATTTTATTTCAGATCATATAAATAAATTAGAACTTTAGCATGCACGTAGAATTACTTACCATTAATTTTAAATAAAGTCCTCCAAAATTCAGCAACGAACAACAGCAAGGATAGGGTACACAAGAAACTAAAGACAACCGATTTTTAATTCTCAAAAATGTAAGTTTAATTTATTTTAATATACACCGACGAGTGTTTGTACGCGCGTATGCGTGCTCGTGTGTCTCCGCATGCATACAAGAACGATCGCGCCATGTAAAAGATGACAATATGTGATCGAACAAAGGTCATAATCAATATTATAATTAAGATCACAAGATCACAGAGCGTGTGGCTCCGGGACAAAGAGGGTATCTTCCGTAATGGAAGTACTTGTTCACCAAGTCGATATGCAAAAAAGGAACTCTTTACAATAATAATTTCTTTTAACGACACTCGTTCCGAAAGAAACAATACAATCTACGCTGCAAAATCTGGACTAATCGGAGATTTCAATTTCTTGCAATGGTACATATTTTCGTATACTTTCGTTAGATTCGTTTCGTGAGAAATTCCTTTTGGGCCGGCTTATCGAACGATTCAAATCAACTATACCGTTTATACAATTGTTGCGAACGACTCGAATTTTTTAACGTTGTTCTCCAATTTATAATTCTATCTTCCCATCTTTCTTTTCCATCATTTAACAATGCGAATTTGTGTGACATTGGAGAATACAGAGAGTTCCATGTAAATGTCGTTTTCCATGAAATTTCAACAGTTACAATAAATTCGACAAAAATTTGTGTCGGATAAATGTTCACTCGTATTTATGTGTATAACTTTCGTGAATTAGTAAATTCAAAAAAATAGTTCCTTCCATATTTAACTTCTTTATCTTTTGTACAATATTTTAAGAGTTACATACAAAAAAGAGGAAGTGTCTATTTAATTTTGGGTGTCACACCTTTAACGGGCAGATGAATATAGTTAATGCATATTATAGTTCTTATCTTGAATTATAAACTACAAAGTTTAACTTTGCTGTAGAAAATATAAAACAAAATATATACACATATAAGACAAGATATAAAGCAAAATTGACTGTGACACTGCACAAATTATATTGGTTCGTTTATTTTTTTTTTTTTTTTAGTACTTACTAATATTTTCAGTATTAAATTTAACAATAAGTATTTACAGTATGCTACATTTTTATTTAAACAATATAATTAAATAACATTCCAGATTTAAAAATAATGCAAATAAGGAAATTCTGATTTACAAAAGTTATACGAATTTAACTATAGTTTGAATATTATTCGACACAATTTTTTGTAAAATTCATGGCAAAACTCTGTATACAGGTTAAAAAAAAATCGAATCGCCGCTTTACAATCATACAGATCAAGCTACGACGCTCTACGATTATTTACACCTATGTATAATTACTCTTCGCTCTACAATCACGTTTAATATCGTTTCGTTGGATTCCTGGAAATAGTTTTTGTTTTTTTGTACATCGCAACAATATTTACAAGAAAATTTACAAGTTATAAGTTAGCCGTTAGAGTCTACCTAGTCGATATTGGTTAGTCTCTTAAAACGTACTGGTAGGAAGTTAAAATTTCAAAGTTGAAAATGCTTTCTAAAACTATCATGTTTGTTATTCAATGATAAGCGATATGTCCGTCTTCTAGTGGTTCCTACAGATGCTACTATCAATAATGATATTAATAAATATTGATATTATCGGTATATCGTTAACTCGGCGAGCGTTATATTAAGATATATCGTCATACAAATTTTGAATCCGTAGATTTCGAAAATTATATCAAATTATTCTCAGCATTCAAATTATTCTCTATTTGTAATTTCTCTATACGATTCATTTCTGATTAAATAACAAATTATGATATCAATAACCACTTTATAATAATAAATTATTTATTTAAACTTTGTTATTTGTTCGTGAATTTTATTCTTAAAATTTTCTGAGATGTATTAGTAAAAGTAGTTATTTCTTTAGATATTTGTGTTGTTTTTTTAGCTTTGATTCAGCAAAACAATCCAAGCTAACTTTAATGAAATAACTTAATTAACTCAACGCTCACCGGGTTAAGTATTAATAAGTTACCGATAAATTTATTGATAATCGGTAGTAGCATCTCTAGTGATTTCCTCAACTTTCGATTAGCCTCTCTGCTTCGTTTGATATAAAATTGATCGACACCCTGTGAACGTTCCCCGTCTGCGTATACTTAGCATCTTGAAAAATTCTCAGATACGTAATTAGACAAATTATCAAAGCATCTTGCTACGAAATCGAAGAAAGACACCTCGAAAATATTTTTGCCGCTAGTTTGATCTGTTTTTAGCGATTTCGTATACGAGTGGAAACGTAGGGCAAAGGAGATATTAAAATCGATAAAATCGATCTTTTCGTCTTGGGACAGCTATGCGAAAAATAGCAATATCAAAGACACGAAAAGACGTTTTATAGTCGTTCGGTTGTTCCTCAAAACATTAACACGCATTTTCCTGTTAAAATAAACTCTGCATAGGCTTTCGTATATCGTAGTGAAATCATTTTTATAAATTCTTCGTAAATAGATAACATACGGCCGATTAATTGCTTTCTGCGTCAATCGAACGACTACATCAGTGGATACAGAAAACACTGCCATGTGCTTCGATATGTATCATTCCTTATCTTATTCGATCATAGTTAATCGTAAAACGTTATTAAATTTTTTTTGCACTGGTTTCGATACACTTCCAAACAGCTCCGACGAAAATCGCCTGAACACGTTTCTTCGCAGTATGTACGTAGTCTAAAAAAGAAAAAGGCGGATCGAGAGGACCGATTTCGATTCAAGAAAGCGATTGTCAATCACAAATACGACGATTATGATTATTTTAGAGCATAAAATCCTTCGTGATAATGGATTTCGCTTCCATGAATACACAGACTCTCGATATTTTCGTCGGAGCTTACATTTCGTAACACTATTTCCCATTTGACGAGAGCAACGGACTGGCGGCATTTGAATATCCTTGGGTGCAGGTGGGCAACATAAATGGATTCATGTTGAACGGTGATCCAACCACCTCTCCTAGTCCTGTAACATACCCACTGTCGATTATACGTTAGTGTCATTCACCGTGACTTATATAACTAACAAATAGTTAACATTCACGGTCAAGAGTTTAACCCTTTCGCTTCGAGCGCCGGATATATCCGGCATCCGCGCGGCGACTTGTGCGTACGAGCGCCGTGTATACAAGTACTATCTGTGGGCAATGACAAATTCTTCGTTATCGGCAGAACGTTTTGAACTGATTTTATTGATATATTCGATTAATCCAATATATCAATAAAGTACACCTACTCTTTGGTGTTATATCAAAACCGCATCCAAAATATCTATCGGATCTTGCGGTTTATATTCATTTTTCTACGAATACATATCGTGTTCTATAAGAATTAAGAATAGATCGGCTCAAAATATTATTCTCTTTTCAAGAATAAAAAATTGTAAATATGTATATAGCTAAGAATTTGTCAACTGTAATTAGTCTAATGTCTTTAGAGTAACTAATATAATTTTGTTTAACTGTTTTCATATTAAAATGTGAGGAATACATGCTATATTAGAGCAACAATTGTTTTATTAAGCATAGTAATTATTTAAGACTTAAAAAATGTATATACAAAAACCACGCGCACTGTGCACATTTCTGGCGCGTACTTCCGTACAGTGACGACACTTTGGCGGACCGGACTGCCGAAGCGAAAGGGTTAAAGCGGTTGCTCTTAGTTTAAGTTTTTGAAACAGTTACGTGCGAAATAGTGTTGAATTTTTTTTTCTTTTTCCAAACATAAAGTATTGTATTAAACACTCAAACAATTGTGATACATCGTATTAAATTATTCTATATTGTACATTAATATTTTTGGCATTAATGCTTCATACTTCTTACTTATTTACGTAGTGTGTTTCAAAAGAAGTAAATGATAAATACAAATTGTATAATGGTATGACAAAATTGAATAGTGTACTACATAATATAGGTAATAATCTTCTTAATAATTTAAGCAAATATAAGTGATTTCAGTTATATGTATATCAGTTAAAAAATGATTTCAGTAGTAAACAGGTGGGAATTAATAACGAAATATTGATTTTTAAATAAAGGTTTTAAATTCTTAAACAGCTACGTAAATATTTAGAATTAAACTATATCGAAAACATGTGAAGGTCATTGAGAAAGTTGAAGAACTAACTTTGATGTCATGTTTTAAATTCATATCATTTATTAAAAGGAGGCAATGTGCGAAAATCTTTTTGCACATTTTCTTTCTAATGTAAGCTTTTATATTTTTTTTTTCGTGAAAAAATAAATTTTGTTTTGCAAAATAGAAGTTTAATGTTTAATTTTATATTATTAGGGCAATTAATGTAATTACATTTCACAAAAAAATTAATACGCAACAAATAAACAAATGAAATTAAAATGAAATTTAAAAAACAACATTTTTGTTAATAAATATCTTTCATGTCATAAAATAATAATTTTGTAAAAGATGCTTTTATGCAACTATTTGCACATTTAATGTCTGATATGTTTAATTACTATAAAATCGTAATGAGAACCAGTTTCAGAACAACAGACCCTTCTTTATCTGATTGTGATCAATGTAAAAAAGACATAAATGTCCGGGTACAACAAAATTTTGGTAATAGAGAAATCTTTTCTTTTGTAACCAGTTATTATTAATTTAACACGTTCACGCCGGGGTGACCCACCGGTGGGTCACACTTAATTATCCCATGGGGCAATGTGCATCACAGGCGGGTTTTCAAAAACTAAGTTTATTTTATTTTTTGTCAACATTATAAACAAAAATTGAGTATTATAAGCATGAACATTCAATATTTTAAATTGATAACAATTATTTATTTATAAGCATGCAACTTTCTAAAACATTCTAAACATAATGCGGGCTGGCCATTACAACTTTCACAATATGTTCTTACTTCTTTACTTTTTTTCGCGGCGCATAATCTACCTAGTATTTTCGATAATTGTTTGTAACATTCTTTACATCGTTTTCTTGTTTTTCTGGCAGCCCCTTTGAACGATTGTAGAAAATGTGTTTTCTTGACCGTCTTTTCTTTTCTATATCACATTCTTCGATTTCTCTGTAAAAAATTCAAAAAGGAAAAGTGCTAACAGCCTCTGTAGAAGAAAAGATAATTTTACCTACTTTTACACTTGATGCAAGAAATGTGCGTTTCGAAAACTCAATATCAAAACTGTTTTGATCTCGTACTTAGCGCGTTCGAAGCTTCAAAAGAGTAACAATGTCGCCTCGCCCCACGAAGAAAAACGTAAATATTCGCCCCGGCGTGAACGTGTTAAATAAAAATGCACAATCTTTTTTGTTATTAAATTATACAAAATTGTTATAATATAAATTTCGTTAAATAATCATTTAACTATTTCGGAGTGAAGATTTCTTTTTATTTACCGTTTAATTTTAAACTTTTTTAATGTCTCATAAGTTAAAATATCAGCTTAGGTCCATTTTTTTATTATTCGAACTACAGGGACGTAACAACATATATGTCTTTGTTAGTCGATGTATGTAATTTTTAATAATATAGTTCCAATTTTTAGTATTAGCAATTATAACTTCTTCCTTTTAAAACGACGTGTAGCTAAAAACAAATAATAGAATAAACAGGAGAAGCAATATACCAAAATTAATTCCGTTTTTGTGCATTCCTGTATGTCGTATAACCTAATAAAATTTGTACGTACTAAAGTGGTTGAATAATAGTTATTCGAATACAAGAGATTCTACTGAAAATAGAAACTTCGTGTTTGTCATAAAAGTTATTCGAAATTATCAAAGCTTCACCATAACTGTTTCAACCAAACTCTTTATATATATTATAGAGATTGACAATTATTTTCGAAACCGTTTCAACTCTTGTGTATCGTGATAAAATATTTCCTCTTACGTGTTTATATATAACATAACTTTAAATGATATTAAGAGAATATCATTAAAAGTCGAAAGTGAACGTTGGAACATTAGTGCCATAAATAAAAGAAACAAGAAATAAATATTTTTTCTATTTATATTGGATGCAAACTACTGACAAGAGGTATTTTTACCTATCTTCCTCTTAAGTTTTGAATTTGTACAGTAAATTAACTACGAATTTTTCAAGTAAAATATATTATATTTTTCAATAACACTCAATATTTTTAAATTACATAAAAATATTTTCATGTTACAAATAAGAATATCCCTAAAAATAAAATATTCTGTCTAATTTATACATGTTAATTGTTATGGTTTTATACTCAATTATCATTATTTCGGTATAATTGAACTTTCTGAAATTTTTCCAATATTTAGATGATATTATTATTTACAACTAGTTATATGTCAAAACATTTGTAGAATAAAATTCTGCGTTATTATTTTTAGAATAAAACTTTAATCGTCTTAAAAAAAAGTTATCATGTAAATGCAGAAATCATCTAGAAATAGCAACACTTATACTAGCTTATACTTGAAAGGGATTTCAATGAACTGCAATGTAGATTTGTATAGAAAGCTAGTGTATTACAAGATGAAGAACAAACTGTTTAGGACGTCGTTCAGACACGTGCCAACAAAACGACCACTTTAACGACAATAACGAGCTCGTCGACCAAGTAGCGCCCTTACAATCTATGAGAACAAATGATATTATAATATTTCTTTTGTAAGGTCACACCTACATTGAATTAATTATAATAATGTTTATAAACTTTCTTTACTTTGTGAAAAACTAGTTTGAGTTTACAACACGGTGACTATTAGCTTTTTTTAGATTAAATTTCAACTGGATATAAATAATATCTAAATATTAGTTAAATTTCAGAAATGAAAAAGACCATAACAGAAAGTAAGAAAAAATATTTTCTTAACTTTTGATTTTGCAGTTATTTTTAATTTTCTTAAGAAAATAAAAATTAAAAAAGAATATAATAAGATTTGCAGTAAAAGAAACGTGCAGATGATTTACTATACAATTTTGGAACTAAGCTCAAAATTTACATGAAAAATTTAGTTTAAATTTTATTGAATTAAATTGATTAAATGTAAAAACTTTATTAGTTTTTGGTACCTTTAACAATCGTTTGAAGTGAAATAAAATAGTATAAAAATGTTATGCTGTTCTATGTGACTTTTAAATGTCATTACCAACGATTAAAACGATAAATTTATGAAAAACAACATTTTTTAAAAAAGTAATGAATTCAATAATTGTTTTAGAAAATAAACTTTTTTAAATTGCTTTCGACATTTTAATTAAATCTTCATTTTTAGATCAGAAATTAAATTAGCAATCTAACCAATAAAAATGAAAATTTGCCAGAATTGCTCGAAGTCCATTGCAGAAGAATTGGAAATTTATTACAAACAAAAAGAAGTAAATTTGTATTAAAAATTATTATACGTTGCAGAATGAAAATGTAAAAATTAAGTGAACTGACAATTTAACTGAAGTATAAAACAGTTTCACAAAAAGATATGTTCTAATACCATTTAAGTAATAAAATCAACAATAAAAAACGTAAAAGTACTAAACTATGTAATATGCCAGAGTACTGTACTGTATTTCGATGGTAAAATGCATCATATTGGCAAAAAGCAAATTTTTATACGGCTGAAATTATTGTTTAATAAACTAAAATGGAAGCGAATGCGTAAATAATACAGGAAGTAACTAAGCTATTTAATTAACCCTCAAACAATGGATTGTTAAGACATTTTAATTGTTTTAAAATTAATTTTAGGCTACATTTTATTTACATTTCGTAAAAATTACTCTACTCGATTAGATTATGTTATTATTTCACACGTTTATGTACTATTTTACTATTTTACACGTTGAAATGCTGTTTCACTATAGTTGTACACGTTTGAAACTCTAGATCACGATTGACCCGGCTTCACCGTTCGAGGGTTAATCAAAGATGGAGGGTTGGAGGAGGAAGCTATCAATGATTCGTAAGTGAACGTGTGTACATACATTCTTGAATCTCGTCTCTTGTGCATGTTTCTCATAACTCTTTAATCGCAGTGCATAGGGTGGTTGTGGTGGTGATGATGGTGGTTGTGATGGTGGACGGTTAACGGTTACTGGGCGGCTGTGGCGAGGTGGTGCTGTGTGGACCAGTGCGGTGGGACTGAGGTGGTCGGTGGTCGTACTACGGGGGCGAACGCACTCCCATCCCCGGATGTATAGAAAATGCCATACTGTTCGTGCGCTAAAATGAAAATTTCACATAAAGAAAAATCATAAATGCGTGCATTGTGCATCCTAACGAAATGCTACTTGATATATGAATAGGATGAACCAGTAACCATTACCACCTTAATTTTTGAGTGAAGCACAGTGGCAAATTTTGCCAAAATCGTGGACAGAATGGACAAATTTTTTTTGTTTTTCTTTTTAAATTTTTGTGAAGTATCGGAACATTTTTTTTGTTGTTGAAATCAATTAGAAATATATGAGTTTGATTTTGATAATATTACAGTATTAATTACTGCAACCCTTTATCGTACTTTGACGGATCTGATTCATGCCTCACTCACGGTTCAAAAGTGATAGATTTTATTAAAATTTTTTATACCCATCATTTTGAAGTTTAATTTCGATAACCATGAATAAGGGATCGTTTAAAATGAAACAGATATAACATTTTAACTTCCTTCATTTGTTTTGATATTATGGTTGTCAATAGCTAGGCCCGACTGACACATAACTGATACATAACTGACACATAACTCCTACAGCAAGGGGTTACTAATAATTGAGAGTAACTTCAGTGATTTATTACTGGCCTATAATGCTTGCTTACTAATGTTGGTATTATCTATGTGTTTCTAAATTATGTATATTCTAACGGTATGTTTTTATTTGAGTTATTATAAGATATTGTACATCTTTTCTGTTTGTTTCATAAAATAGTTATCCATCAACCGCGATTAAGCAGACTTTTTTTAAACAAACTTTTAAGGTTACTGAACAAACTTCTCTTTCGTTTATCTGCGATAAATTGTGGTTTTGGTAACTATGATGGTAATGGTAATTGTGGTAACTTTTGCTGAATGAAATTATTACGCATTATTATTATGATCCATATAGGTTAATTATTATTATTATCCAAACTACTTTGATATAATATATCTTAATATTGATATGGTATTGCGAATATGTGCTTGTATTGTTATGACTAATTGTTGAAAAAAATGATCATTTTAAATATAAAAACTCACAAAGTATTATTTACAATTAACAGTTGGAAATATAAGATGCGATCTGTTTGGGCCAATCATAATATTTAATTATTTATTGAACGTTTAAGGTAAACTAATGAAACTTCTTATAATAGAAAAATAAATATGTTATATATACCGACAAAATCTACAAGAAACCTTTGTGTTGATACAGTTTAGGTGACTAAATTGTTGAATTATGACTAAGGAGGAACCTGACATACTCCACCGTACACTTGGTAGATTTTATAGCTTTTAAGATAAAAACACTATACATGTAAAACTGCTTGAACGTGTATATCATAATTTTGTTAAAAGACAAATAATATAGGAATAGAGTGTACTACTTGCATACAAAATAGAAAAGACGAAGAAAACTATTTGAAATAAGTGATATATCTGAGAGTGATGTTTCTGTGCATTAAGCAAAACAAATAGTTTAAAATGTTATGTGCAGCATTCGAATCTGGTGATATAATTGGCTTACTCAAATTTCTGAATTGGTTCTATTAAGTCAAAGAACTTAAAAATGTTTAAACAGTCAAACAACTGACTTTAGCATTTTGGCGTACGTATACGACTCATCTCTCTTAATTACAAATTAGCAACATCGCATAGCATTAATTTTTACCTTCTAAATCAATTTTCATTTGTTCTGTCCAAACTTTTACTCATTGTCAGTATGATGTTTGAGTTTGAAGTTAATAACTTTATAGTGCATAGTATCATAACAGAACAAAAATTAATTTTTGTACATTGTATAAACTATACATATAATAAGTGACTCCCAAAATTTATCGAACCGGTTGCATTTAAATTCACTAAACTAAGAATTGTGTCTTGAAAATCAAACTGCATATATACACTCAAAGACCTTAAAAATATCTGCAGTATATACAGATTGTATCTATCGGTGTTGATTACTTTTACTTTACTGTATTGTGATATTGTGCATTATTACCTTTAAACTTGAATATATTTCAAGGAGAAATTGAAGCATAACAAACGGATATTGACATAAAAGATGAAAAATTCTACTAAAATAACATTAATAATATTAACATTAATATTAACATTAAGTAATATATAAAGAAAACATTGCAAAAGAAAACAGAATGCATAGTTACTAAGAAATTATTATTTTTAAAGTTGCAGAAAACATGAAACTCCTGTAGGATTGTGTTAATAACAATTTTTTTTTGCAACAAAACAGTATGCAAATATTTTCATCTCTTTCAGGGAGATTTTTTAAAAGTAATATTTTACATGCATTCAAATATTTTTCTATTTTCAGATAAAAATGAAAGAAAGTCACAAATGAATTGTCGATGAGTTAACAATACAATAATTATATAATTATCATATATAATTATGAAGAAGTTATTATGACATAATTTTGGCATAGCTATTCTTATTAGAGTTTAAATTTCAAACTCATGTACTATCGTTGCTATTTTGCGATATCTTTATTTCCCTACATCAAGTTCAAATTTTTATGTTTCAAGACCCATCACTAAGAAGATAGAAATAAAGGATTTCACCAACAAAAAATATGTTATTATAAAACAGAACATTATACATGTATGTCGAAGTAGAAAAATACTTTTCTTGTATTTTTCGAAATAATCGAGGTACTTACTGGTCCACCCTGTATACAAAAAGCGCATGCGTGTCATGATTTCTCGCGTATACATACAACATGCGTAATAGGATACAAAATGAAATGTATCCATTACAATGCAAGTGACTGAGTCAATGAACATAAATGATTTCAAATATCATAATGAACACCTTCAGTAAACGAGCCTTAAGCAAAAAAAAATTATTCGTCGAAAAATAATAAATTTACATTAATTAGCGTTTGTTGATCCATACTATCTATGATTGTCGAATGGAATGATTACAATAGTAATCACATTCATTATTAATATTTTATATTTACTGATTGTTCGCTTTCATTGTAAAACATTGTAAAAAAATGTATTATAAAGATTCCTGATTTTAGCTTCAGTTTCTTTTGTATGTACCCTTAGTTGTATGCAAAAGCGTAATAATTAGACCACAGATGTGTATGCACATATAATGTACCAAAAGTTGTATAAATTACAAAGAAAATTAAATTAGTTGTTGAAAATAGTGATGAGCTGATTAAGCACCGTAGACTTCATAGGCACCGATGTACATGATATATGCAATGATCTACACGAATTTCAAATTTCAAATTTCTGAAATTCAGAAACACAAGTTTTACAAATCTGTAAATTTGCAGGTTAACAAATTTTTTAAATTTACAAGTTTGAATTTTCGAAATATGGAAATTTATAAATTTAATAATTCATAAATTTAGAATTTCGGAAATTCAGAAATTTCTAGATATATTAATTTTGAAGTTTTCAAATTTACGAGTTTACTAGCTAATAAATTTATAACATTACGAATTTATGCATCTACAAGTTTACAAATCTACAATTAGAATTTGAAATTTTGCAAAGTCGGAAATTCTAAAATTTCGAAACATGGAGATTTATTACTTGAGAAATTCGGAAATGTAAAAAATTAAGAAATTTTCAACTTGAGGAACTGACTACCCATCAGTACCTATAACTTCATGCCTCCTGCGCGTTCTACCACTGCACTTTCTGAGTCGCAGCAGCCCATCACTAGTTTAGAACATGCAAAGTATGCAAAATACAAAATGATGTAGCACTTTAAATCACCTGGACAATGTTATACGCAGTTATATATTTGCATAAACATCCGCAGTCATCCAATAACATTCAGAAATAAATACTTACGCGATGTATAAAGAGTTGGACTACCGGTGTACGGATTGGCCACCGAGTAACTTCCATTTGTGCTATGACTGTGAGGTGTACTGGCCGAACTTCCACAATAACCACCACCGGTTACGACCCCACGTGGACTCGCACTGCTGCTTTGCCTATATGCATCAGTGCTACCACCAACGCTTCCTCCAACGCTACCACCACCGCCACCACCGCCTCCAGCACCGGCTCCTGTCGTCACGGAACTACCGTCTAGAAATAGAAACCTGCCCGTCAGACGAACTCGTCAGTATTGCATCATTCTGATCATTTCGTGTTGCCTATTGCACCGAAACAAGAAGACAACGCCGAAAACACGGATAACCGCATTTAACTACTTTAACTATAGATCGTAATTTGCTTCTTTTGCGTTATTCCGGTGTAACGTAGGCTTCCTTTAGATAGCTACATGATTATAAACTCGGATGCAACGGAGCTTTACTTTAGCCAATTTTTTGTCAATTGTTTCGTTTAACTTTCATATTTACAAATTTTATAATGTACAATTTTTCGAATTTTCCGAATTTTCATATTTCTGAAACCTTAAATTTTCAAATTTTTAATTTTACAAATTGCTGAACTTCTAATTTACTAAACTTCTATATTTATCAATTCTTTTGTGTTCAAATTTCTGAAATCTGAGAGTTTTCATTTTTTAAATTGTTCAAAGTCTGAAATTGATTGATTTTGGTCCATTTCCAAATCCCAAATTCTTAAATTATCTTTTACTTCCTATTTCCCACGGTCATTAAATACCTATGTTCCCAATTCCTCACACTATTAAATTTTTAGGTTCCCATATCCCTAGGTTTCTAAATTTTGAAATTCCGTTTTCGTAAAATCCTCTAAATGTAAAATTCCCTACATAAGGTTTTTAATCTATGTCTCCAATTCTCTAGACAATCAGATCGCTAGTTAATTTGATCTTGTAAAAATCTGAGGGATTTTCATATCTTTGGATCCATAATTTCAAATTCCTAGTATGCCCAAACGCTTATGTCTGTGAATTCTTAATTCATCCCCAAACTTTTAAATTATCAAACATTTTTTAAGCCAAATTCACACTTGACTGTACAGGAGATTATTGTTTATTATGAGTAGATGATATGTAAGTTGAATCTCGTAATGTGACGATTTCAAATAACTTATAAATGGTAGATTTACACTTGTAACTCGTAAATCGATAAATATTTTTCAGATTAAAGCTGCATGATTTTTACGGACACTTGTAATTGCTTTTTGTTAGTTTGATATTTCATTGAAGAATGGAGGTCTTCAATCTTTATCAGGAATGCACGATACTACTTTTTGGATTTGGATAAAATATATTTTACGTAAAAAAAATTAGTAATAATAATAAAATAAAGTAAAAAAAATAAGGTATGATACGCAAACTAGTTTACATAATGATTCTTTATCTTGACAAAAGTTAAAATATATTTTGACAAAATCTTAAAAATTCTTGCAATCTAACGTAAAAAATCTAAGCTTATACAATGATTCCTTATTTTGACATAATCACACAAGATTTTTTTAATAATTCTGCTAATTTAAAGTAAAAAACTTAAGTTTCGTCATTTTTATTGTAAATCTGGCGTTAGGGAATTTACTGTTGATAGTTATCGTAAATACTATAAATGTTGTGAGCGATCTAGCTCATTTGAAACTTATAAATTCTATTTTTAATAAACTCAGCATGCATAGTAAAATGCTAATACAGTTAATATGCGCAGTGCAGTAATAACCCTAATAATGTCTTTTAATGCAATTTAAATTTATTATATCAATACTTACCATCTGTCCATTTTGCGGCAGTACCATTTTCCTGTACCGTCACTGCGAGCTGTCCTGTATACGAATTGAATGCTGTCGCCGAACTGGAAGTTGGAGGTGCAGGTGGGTGACCCGATCCTGGACTCCTGGGCGCACCTGTGATTCCTGCGTTTCCGCTTCTGGGCATACTGTACAAAGCTTCCGCGAGATCTGCCGCTCTTTTCAGTATAATTTCTTTTGGCAATTTCTCAGGATCGCCAGGATGTCGAGGAATAAGTTTCTGTAACCTTTGGAAACCGTAGTCGATTGTCGGCTCATTTAAGGCTGAAATTTAAAAAAAAACAATAGTTTGTTTCAGTACGTATCCAACAATTTTTTAAATATTTGTATATGAAATAGATTTAGATTATTATAAATTGTTACAAAACATGTTTGAAACATTACTAAATCTTAAGAACCTTACTTAATCATTTCAGGGCCGAAATTTTTTTAAAGTATGAAAATTTTACTTTATTTGTTATTGGTGAACTTAAATAAGATTTAAATGAAATTTATGTACCACTTTTGTACAACCTTGTATTTTAATAAATTAATTTTATCATGAATCATCTTTGGAACAGCCATTTTATTTGAACATTACATAATTATTGAAAACATTAAGAGTGATAGTTCTATTTTAACTATTGGAGTTATTGCATTTTTAATATCTATCGATTTCCAGTTATATTATGTCTTTCGAAGTATTTAATGACCACATGCAAGACTTGAATATTTTAATTTTTCATTACTCTTTTCATCTAAAATAACACTATCAATTGATTTTTTAAGCTGAAGATGCTATGATTCTATATAGTTTTAAAATTCAAGATTGACGATATAAAAAAGATTTGTTTTAAGAAATTTTGCAACTTAGCATGAATTTTAATGTTGCATATTTTGAATGAAAGTGGTGTTTCCAAAAAAGAACTATTATCAAAAAAATTGTGCGCTCATCAAGTTTATTACGGCAGTTAATTAAAATAATAATTTCTGTTATTGGAAAATTGATTTCGTGTGTATTAAATTGTAAACAAATTGTAGTTGAAGAATTTCTATTAACATAAAAGTAATGTGCAGCAATTATACTTACAAACATAAACGAACCTCCCAGGTGCTCCTTTACAAAACTGTTTAGTTTTATAGGATAGTGTAACATCAACGACACCAGGTATCTGTCGTGGTGGCGTTTGCACCCTGATTGCGTTCGGTGTGATTAACTGAACAAAAAGTAATTTTATATTATAACAAAATGTTGTATTCATTCTATGAAAATTATTACAATCAAATCCTTTTTAAATTAATATACTTCAGCTATTTGAAGAAGATAAGCAAGTTTTGCGACATCATATAGAAATGATGCTAATTCTTATTTTTTTAATTGATTCAGTTCTTTGAATTTTAAGGATTTCGTTCAGTTTACTGTAGACTGAGTTAAGTCCGATTTTATTCTATTATTTATTTTTTACGTTAACATTTCATTGTTCGGGCTTAAATTTACTAGAAGGAATTGGGTTAGGTACAAATTAGATTCAATTTTGTTACACTTTATTCCACTTCAATTTGCCAAACAGAATACAATCGAATCTAGGTTAGGAGTTATTTTAAGTAGACACCATGCTACTTCAACTTTTCAATATCTAAGCTTAGGATCAGTCAGGTAAAATTAGGCGTATCATTCTGTTACACTCTTATCCCACTTTTATTTGATAAAAGGTTGAACATGTATAGGTATAATTGAATTAATTTTAATTTGTTTTATTCTATTTTAGCTTTGAAAAATTTAAGATTAGAGCATGTGAGATAATCTTACTAATGAAAGCTTATTAGCCCTAGGACAAAAACGTTTTTCCTTACAATCCAAAGTACTTGATCAGTTGGAGTTGCCATTATTTTCGTACCTTACGAAAAGGATCATTAACCTGTTTTAAATCTTAATCTAGATCCGTGCCAGTACTAGTGAAGTTTAATTGTTATTTTAATTTTAACTATATTCTTGCTTGGTTTGATCGCTAATATTTCCCTAAACAAATAATATTACGTACCTCGCTCCATACCAACATCGATCCAAAAACTACTTGAAGTCCGTCGAAGAAGTTTTCGCCGATAATTATCACCGTGGATCCACCAGAAGTCCATCCTTCGTTTGGTGATATCGCTTTTATGCACGGTGTTTGGAGAGGTACAGGTGTATATAGACCTAATTTCCAGAAACATAAATATTAATTTCTCAATGAATAATCCTATTATCTCTAGATTTAAAACATTAATTTGATAGATGGATTTCTCAAATTATTAATTTCAGGACCATTTTATCGAATTAGATTTTCTGGATAATATTTTTTATGGGTACAAATAAATTGGTTGTATAATAATTAGTAATTCGCTGAAATAATGGATTAGATGTTCGAGCAAGTACATCAACAAATATTAAGACACGCTTAGTATACAGTTTTGCAGAAATACTTCAGTTCCGTAAAAAGGAAGAAATTTTCATTTCGTTTAACATGCTAAAAATTCTGTTTCATCTTTCCTGTGGGCTGTTTAACGAACACTTAGAAAAATTTTTAATAAACAAATAGTCGTTTTAATATTTCTAATCTATTTTTACTTTACAATGGAAGAAAGATTTGGATAACTTAAAAATTCGATAGAAGTCGGACAAAACTTACAATTAGTGAATGTTGTACGTATTTTTAAATTAAAATTACATGTTTCTTTGTATACTGATACTGCTTTTTTATGCGCAATTTCCATTTACTATGTAACCAGGCATTTTTCCAATTTAAAATTGCAGTCAAAAGTATTACATTTGATTGTAAAAAATGTGAAACGTTATTAGTAGTTGGGAATATTTTGTGTGTACAATTTTTTGTTTACATTTATTACTAACACTTATAACATAATTAAAAATATACAACATATTTTCACATCAAAGCAGAATTAATCAATTACCCAAATAATAGGTACTACGATTAGTTCAGATAATCAATGTTCCATTGTACTTAAAATCACGAAAACAATAACGAATGGATCATATAGGGGATAAAAACCCCGTAAAAGAGAAAGTAAGTCAAGAAATTACACGAATTTTCCGGATTGTACGAGGCAAACCGAGACAGTTAGTTGAAGGGTGGTTGGGACACGGAAAATTATCTGAAAATTCTGTTTATTCGGTCGAGGCCTCGTGGTACATATATTTTCCGTGGCAAACTCACGCTACGAGGATGTCGTGAAGGCAGGAAAAGGAGAACAACAGAGAATCTACGAAAGAGGAAGAGAGAAATGAGCAGAAAAGAGGATAGAAGGAAGAGACTGAGGGGTCGAAGTAGTTGGAGAAGGGTTGTAACAAGAAGGAAGGGGAACGATCGGGCTGCCGGTGTCTCTGCTTGGAATTTATAACCCAATGATATCATTTTGTACCCCAGCGAAGCCAAGCCACCCCCGGTACCGCCTCTGGCAGAACGGAGCCACGGCAGAGTGGCTGACATCATGGTATATTGCTCCCAGTGATGCTCAAACAGTTTCCACCTTGGGTGCTTACGCCTGCTTCAGCTAGTAAATCTTAATGCCTTAAGAGATCTCGATGCTGGATATTGTATTCGAACAATGTTTTCCCTCGTTGGGGAAACAATATTAACCCCTACGAAACGACAGACCCGTTACGGGTCAATCGTAACCTAACCTAATTCGTAACATAGCCCACATTTACACAACGTGTACGGAGCTGAATGAAATTTGGATAAAATATATTTAAAGTGCTAATTTAAGTGACAGATTCTGTAGGACTGAAATGATACTTCCAATAGGAAAATAAAATATTTTTTTTTTAACAATGTAACAGAACAACAAATTTCCTTTGGAACAGTAACTTCATTTAAACCTTGCATAATTATTAAAAATATTAAAAGTAATAATCCTATTTTAACTAATGGATTTATGGTGTTTTTAATGTCTACAGGTTTTTAACTGTTTTAATGTCTATCAAAGTATTCAACAACCACATACAAGATTTTTAATTTTAGTACGTACTGTTTACATGTAATAGGGTTAAAAATATTTCAAAATATCACCTTCATGGAGTTAATGATAAATAAAGTCCTTTTGTAATATTCATATCAATACTAAATTTTTTTGTATTACAAGCTTCAAAATTTTTTCCCAAATTTTTAAATATGTCGTATAATTTAATGCAATAAAAAGCTTTTCCCAGTTGGTATTTTTTACGTATTAATTTTTTTTTAATACGCATCGAATTTAGTAACGGAAGGAATTTTTCATAAATTAATGAAAAATGGTTTAAAATTAATTATTAAAAAAAATTTTAATATTTTTTAATGCCTGATAACTGCATTGCGTGTGCTTAATCTTTGACATAAAAATTCCGTATTATAACAAAATTTGTAGCACTATATATTGAAAAATTTTTATTTTTTCTAATAATCCAAACCGTCCACTGTACTAATATTTCCAAGAGCTTGAATATAATTTAAGCCTTTGTTATCATGTGCTTGTAAAGCATACAATATTTGACGTATAGTGCAAATGTTCATTACTCAAGATTAAAATTGTTCACTCGCCATAGTTACAATTAAGAAACCAAATGCCACAGACAGGAATAAATAGTTTTAATGAAATACGCAAATATTTTTGAAATAGTCTAATACTTTATTCATTCATGTAGCTTGTCCTTAGAAATTTAAGTACGCCGGTACGACACAAAGCCGAAGAATTGCAATTCGAGTGTAAATGGGGATTCTTGAATGGGACACAGGTATTTATTGCGTTCAATGTACAAGAAAGTCGTTAAACAGAGTCGGCCACGTTGGCAACCACCCCGTTGGAGAATTGTCGGTCGGAAGGAATGGGTATGAAGCGGAAAAGTAGGAAGAGGCAATGTGGAAAGAGGCGTAAGAGGAGGAGAAGGAGGGTTGAAAAGAGGGATTCAGTGGAGGAGGCCGGAACAAGCGTACCAACCCGGAATAAATAAAATCCCCCATGCCACTGGTGAGTGGTAAGGGGTGTTACCCTCTATCCCCTCGAGCTTCTTCCTTCCTCTCTTTTACCCAGCAAACCGTCGCCGAAGTCGAAGCGCCGTTGTACTTTAACACATTCGGCCCGATTCTCTCTGATCACTGTAGGATCGTGCGATAACTTCGTTCACCCCGATAAAGAGCCGAGAAGTTCTCCGGGCAAAAAGTTGTTTTCACTTTCACCACGAACGATATTATTAACTAAGTATAGGGTGACCCAGTTTAATAGATCTCTGAATTATTTTGTAACATGAAAATAATTACATTATTTTACGTATTCCTTTTTTTTTATGTAGATCGATTCTACAAAATATTTTTCGTAAAGGAACACTAAGATGATGAAAAACGACAACAATGTTGCAAAGGAAACGATATTTCCAATTAATGTACTTAAACAAAAATATTTCTGACCACTTTCAACCACTTCTCCTAAAAATTTAATAGTTTGAGCATGAGATGTATAAGTATCTCTGATACGAGTTTTCATCAATTCTGTTTATTAAGATTGAAGATATAAGGTGAAATAGATGAGATACGTACATTCATGTGCAAAGGAGTAAAAATCATAGTTATTTAATTTCTCTTTCGAAAAATGAAGTGTAACATTGAACTTATAGAAAATTTGCTATATTTACATGCCATAGTAATTTTATTACGTATAGAAGTATAAATAAACCTACAAATTGCATCAGTTTTTTCATCAATAAACAGAAAATTACAGGTTAATCATCTCAGATTAATCAATAAGTATTGAATTTCATTATCGATTTGCAAAAAACAAAGGATAAAATTTTTCTTAATTCAAATACTTCAAATTATTGCAATTAATTTAAATAAAATCAATTGTTTATGAGATATTTTAAATTCAAAATGGAAGAATTGTATATAAATATTTTTATACTTAAAAATATGTCATTAGTTGTTAATTTTCTCGAGATTTTTCTACAGAAAAAAATTTAATAATCACAATGCATCACGTTGGGAACTCGCTTCCTTTAGGACACGGCTTAAACCCGAAAGCCTCAACAGTAATACCTGAATCACAATGCAGATTCATTAATAGAAAGATAACAGAAATAACATTTCTTGAATTCCGCTATAGCTTTTCTTCCTTTTCCTCACATTACACTTTTTCTCAATTTCTCTTTCTAATTCCCGAAACTCCTTTGATGTGCTTGGTCTATTTATTCCCTTCATTTTACTTTATACTACTTTTTCTATTTTTCAAGCTTTCTTTTTTTCATATGTTTTCATGTTTTTTGGAACTTATACCTGATGTGTTTTTGGTTAAATATTTCATTCTTCGTATAGGTTTTTTGTAAATTATACTTTTTTTTATAAATCTATGATTTTAAAAATACGATTAATAATTTTCGCAGTTATCCACTGGTTGTAATAAATTTCTAATGATAATTTATTACTACTATTATCGGTCATTTTTCAGTAAAATTCTTCCATTTTCAATATCAAAGAATGACAAAGAAAAATGTTATAACATTAGTTTTGATATCATTATTTCGTCTCATTGTCACATGGTTTACAAATAAAACTAATAATAATTATTATTATTATAAAAATACATAATTTTATAGCCGGCATTTTTATTGTATTTTTACAAAAGATTTGCTAATTTTTAAATAATCGACAACTAGTTACATTTCAGAAATATTTTTCATAAGAATTATTTTTATTTTTTTTCTAAGTATTTATTAAACCACATTCTAACAAGAAAAGTACATTTTATTAAATTAACAGGTCATTAATACAAATATTTCTAATATATTATACTCCCTCTATAAACAATTAAAATTTTTTAAATTCATAATTATCATTTCCTTGTGTATTGATCATTCAATATGCGGTTAATGATCAGTGAATTTACCCTAATAAATTACCAGAAATTTTTGGAAAGTGCACTATTCAATAGAACGAGCAAATATCCCGTTTCGTTTTGATTTACTAAGCTCCCATCGAGTTTCGAACTTTGATTTCTGAAAAACGAAGAAGCAAAATTCATCCGCAATGCCAGCAAAAGTTACAACACGTTCTCTTTGACCGTTCCTTCCCTCCGACTCTGTTCTTCCACTTTGTTTCTCCCCTTTTACTCTCATTGGTATGCTCGTTTCAGCGTTTTGGGAGTTACTCGCAAGGGGATTTGGAAAGAGTGGTACCGTCATGGCGTCACAGCAGTTGCGAAAGCCGAGAGGATGGTTCGAGATAGCTTAAACTTAGCATTCACAAACCAACACCCCACAGCAACCACTGCGAGAACAGAGTAAGGTTGTTGGAAAAAAAGAGAGAGAGAAGGACTGGCAATTCCAACTCGCTTTTCTCTTTCCCTCTTTCATTTTACCCTCGTTCTGCTTGCGTCTTTCCGCTTGATGGTAGCCAACCAGACAAAGAGAGGAAAGGCGAAAAAATACGGTAGGGTGGAAAGAAAGCCTGTGAGGAACGAGAGCAAGGAGATAGAGGAACACAGAGAACGTGGTGGATCCCTCGTTTTCCCCGCATCCCATTGATTTACATCTCGTCGCGGCACAGGAAAGGAAGAAAGGCTCGAAGAAGCCTAGGAGAAGAGGAGAAACGCGTTGTCGAGGGGTGGCCGCACGATATCAGCCGTTTGTATGCGCGGCCGACGCCAAACTTTGCTGAATTGCCCTATGACTCCTTATATCCTATCCTCCGAGCACACCCTCTCTTTCTTCCCTTACGATTCCATCCTTTGCTACGCCTCTCGAGTCGTTATACCGATCTCGAAGAAACCAACCAACCAAACCCATCCTACATTTCCCCTATCCTGCTCTTTCATTCGAGGATTCCGCAATGAGGGGAAACAGTGCACGGGCTACCAGAAACTTCCAATTCTAAATGGCGACAATAAATCGATTTACGTGCATATGATTAATTGTGTGTTTTATGAGAGTTATTATTGACTGTCTCTATTGCAAACGGCTTAAAAATAATAAGACACCATTATAACGAAAATATCTATTTTATTTGAAGAGGGCTTGGTGGAAATTGGGAGCCCAATTTGCAACGTACAAAAATTTATTTGGATTAAAATGCCCTCACAAAATATTGATAGAACGAAATTTATACGACTTTCAATTATTCGGTTCTATTAGACTAAACAGTCAAGAAGCTCATTGGCTCCATGGTGTCCTGACCGGTTTTCTACCGAATCAAACAGTATTTCTCAACGGGATTCATTTTTGCGTCTAAAGTTATTAATTTTAAAATAATTAAAAAAATCTCTGTGTTTAGGAGTTTGTAGTGTTTCATTCACATTATGAAAAAATTGTTAGTATATTAAATTTCTGTAGTTGTCTTAATTGGTTAATTTGAGCAACACTAAAATTAAATAACTATCTATTTGATACATACGAATATTGAATCGATCATATATTTGAAAAATAGTAAGACTTTAATACTACTTCTATGTCGTATTTTGCTGAGTTAAAGTACAGTGGAATGTGCTAGATCGAACGTAACTGGTTCGAGAATTTCATATATTACAGCATCTATTCATGGTATTATAGCATACGCTGAAATATATCTGAATTTCTGAGTCAGCGTGAGTTGAGGTAAACACGGGTGCTACGTAAGTTCCCTGTAGATGAATTTTCATACATAAACATGGCGATTTTTATATCCTCAAATTTTCTAACTCTCAAGTTCCCGAATTTTTGTATTTTCAAATTTTCCTATCTTATTATCAAATATAGTATATGCACTTTTCGCATTTACAAACATGTGGTTTTTTAAAAATACTAAGTTTTATTAGAATTCCTATATTCCTATATTCCTAAGTTTTGTAGTTTCTAAATTTCAAATTGTGCAAATTTTGAAACTCTCAATTTTTCAAATTTCTAGGTGTCTAAATATTGCAATTTCAAAACTTTTCTTAGATTCCTAAATTCCTAGGTGTTGAAATTTTTAGATCAACAAATCACTAAATATCTAAATTCTAAAGTTCCGAAATCTCAAGATCCTCAAATACGTATATCTTCAAGTTTCTAGACTCCTAAATTTCTAGATCAATAAGTTTTTCAATTCTCAAATTCCCAGTTCCTAAATCTTCAAATTTCAAGGTTTCCAAATAAATACTTCCTTAAATTAACAAACCCCAAGTTTCTAATTGTAAGTGTCGAATATAAGTATAAAAAATGCAAAAATATGTAAAATGCGTTAAAATGTATTTTTAAACACTGGTTCTGGTTTTCAGACATGACTTGGAATGAGAAATATGTTATATGAAATTAAAAATATGAGAGTGACGCGAAATTTGCTTATTACATTCGTATAATAAATTCATTTCTAGTATTGTCATTAAAAGACAGAATAATTCAAAAATAGATTCTCAGATCTTCATTGTCATTTGATAAATTCTTTTAACCATGTTAACATGTTGGTTGTCACGATAAAAATTTCCTTACCTTAAAAGCTAACTCAAATCACTAATTATTAAAAATTTAATCGGTATATTTCCAAATTTATGCTTTTAGGTTACTATCATTGACTTTTAGCAAGTTGATATAAAATTAATTATATTATTAGTATAACTGATAACATTATTAAAATTTTCTATACTCTTTCTTCTTATTAATTGTTCAGTTACATTGAATTTAAGGCGACAGACATTAGTTACTTTTACACTTCTCAACAACTTCATAATAAATAATGTTATTGCTTATACTTATTGTGTTATTTTTATTGTAATGTACTGATATTATTGGTAAAAATTGTTTGTTTTAGAATACGCTACTCTATTTCTCTAGGGAAATGATCGAGGCATTTTTCAAGAAACAATATACGGAGCTTTCCCAAAGAAGACACCGCATATATTATGTATTAGTACAGTAAAGGGCAAACCGCGTGCTTATTGAGGCGTTCATGGGACCCGGTATTTATGGGACAAGTAGTGAGTAAGGCGTTACACATACGTTTATATCATAAACATTTTACCGGTTAAATGCAGAAATTACAAAATTTTTAATTTGTTAATATTGCATTTTTTTAATTTAGAGAATTCAGAAACTCGCAAATTTAGAAATATCCAATATTTAAATTTGGAAACTAAGGCATTTAAAAATTTAGCAATTTAGTAATTTAGTAATTTATAACTTTAAAAAATTACAAAATTTGGAAATTTAGACATATAGAAAATTGAAAAAGTGGAAATGTAGAAATGTAGAAATGAATAAACGTAGAAATGTAGAAGTGTAGAAGCGAGGAAACGTAGAAACGTAGAAATGTAGAAACGTAGAAACGTAGAAACGTAGAAACGTAAAAACGTAGAAACGTAGAAACGTAGAAACGTAGGAATGTAGAAACGTAGAAATGAAGGAGTGTAGAAGCGTGAAAATGTAGAAATGTAGAAATGCAAAAGTATAAAAACGTGAAAATGTAAATCTGTAGCAACGCAGAAACGTAGACATGTAGAGAAATTTAGAAATTTAGAAATTTAAGAACTTGCAAAGTCAGAAATTAGCAAATCCAGAAAAGTAAAAGTTTAGGAATTTTTAAAATTAGAAACGTGGAAATTGGGAAATTATGAGTTTAGAATCTTGAAAAGCTAGAAACTTGGCAATTTATAAATGTAGAAGGAACTGAAAAAACTCATGAATTTAAAGTTAGGAAGTTAACAGATTTAGAAATTGTCTTACTATGCCGATAAATTCTTTCATTTTCGACTTCAGAAATTGATTATACATCAGTGCCCGCGGATACTCATCATTTTGTGAACACTGTTGACCATTACTGCACTAATATATTATACACTAATTATAATATTTCTTTACTACCACTTTTTCTTTCAAAATGAGATATATACCACAATTACTCTTGCGCAATAAACTATAATGTCATTTATTTTATGATTATAGTTAATGATACTTACTGTTGTACTCGCCGGGATCACTGGGATCTAATCGTTTCGCTCTACGACCATGTTTGCTGTTGTTGTGAACGAACATGTTGTCCGAGACTGCGAGTAGCGGCCCCTCTACTCCTACTTGTGTGGAAATGACCACCTGTTACAGAAGATTGAAATTCGTCCAAGTGAGATTTCCGTTAAAAGTTCGATCAAACTACGTATTTTTATAATATTATATCGTAATATATAAAAGTGAGGAAGTTAACTAATCCGAGGTAAGTACTATTCAAACATTATTATACGTATTATTACGTATCAAATGGCAAAGTTTTAAATATTAAAAGTCTGACATAATTTAATGACATAAAACTATCATAAAATATTTACGAAACGTAAAAACGACAAAGATACAACTTGTAAAATGTAAAAGGTGCAATTGGCAGTAATGACTAAAAGAAGTAAAAGATACAATTGGTGATAATAAGTAAAGGAAGCAAAAGATATAAGTTGATGAAAATCGCTACATAGATATATTACTATAATTTTTTTAATAAAATAAACGATAAAAAATTGAATACTTGCTAAAGCATGACATTAAACTGTAAATTGATGGAATCATTGTTCATTTTGAAGAAGAAAATACAAAATGAATTTTGTATTGAGAATATTAATCAAATATTTATATACTTATTTTCATCAAATCATAAAGTTCAATTGATATTCCGGATTATCCTTATATTCGTGTCAGATTTCTACTGTTTTTAAATCGGATTTTTAATTATGCAGCATAATAATAATATAGATCTATATTTTGTATACCTTATAAAGGTAGAAATAAGATAGTACACGATTGTGAGAAATATATTTCAAATTGTTTCGAACCTAAAAAATATAAACATTTACTAAGCTGTGCATGAACTGTACATTTATAATGCTTCTGTTAAAATAATATGCGGGAATTATTAATAATGAAATATAACACTAATCCTATTATGGATATCACTAATCCTATTATCGATATCGAGTATTTGTATGCTCAAATGCATTGTAAGCTTCCTTTGAATAAGAAGTAGTGTAGAAGATCTCAAATGTTTGATTTTGATTTTGGGATATCAAATATGTAAACTTTGAAATTTTCCATTTCCAAATTCCAAAATCTCACAATTTTTAACTTTCCAGATTTTCCATTTTACAAACTTCTTAAATTCCCGAATTCTTATCCTCCTAAATTTTCAAAATTTCAAAATTCCTAAACCTTCTACATTTGAAAGATTACTAGTTTATAAATCTGAAGATTTATCAATCAACAATTAATGAGTAATGAAGTATATTTTTTCTATGTCGCCATTTTCTATACAGGAGCCTACCGCGCTCACCGGTATACTAAATTTTCATTTACACAAATCTTCAAAAAGATAACATACTCGTGTGCCAGTTTTAACTTTCCGAACAGTAATTTAAATTATTTGAATCAGAATAAATATTAATAAATATTATAACAAAGAAAGGGGAATCTGATATTAAATTAGTCTGTTTTTACTGAACTTTTGAATAGACAGAATAAATGGAAAAGTACCAAAGATAAAATTTTAACACATTTACAAATAGGTATCTACATATATACCTATCTAATCTAAACTCTACTATCTAATCTAAAAAGAGGATAAAAATTAAAAGAATATAAATATTTATTGCAATTCGAAATTACAATAAGCATAACTTTGTTTATTTATATTTACGTTAATTGTCCACTTTAATGATGATTGACAATAGATTACTACAAACGAATTTAATTTTTAATCGCTCATTGAACAATAATTATTAAAATATATTTTATAAAAAAGTATATATCCATTTTACAATAGTTTTCACGTTCCGCAAATATAAGCTAGTATTATGAATATTATAAAATTGTTAGAAATGTTCAATGCAAACATTTTATTAAAATATAACACAATTCGACAACATTTAACAATCAGAATAATCACAGTAGAATTGAACGGTTTATTAAATAAAACCAAATATTTGTTTATATCATTATTAAAATGGATATTTCAAATAGTTAAAAGTATAGGTAATTGTATTAATTATATTTTCAAATTAGTTAAAATTTATATCCTTTTTTCTAGGTAAAATACATGTCGATATATTATGTGGCTGAATATATTAAATATTTAATATTATATAAATTGCATGCATTTACTGTCTGTTCAAATTCACTAGTATTTATATCCTCCTTTTAGGTTAAACACATGCCTATGTTTCGTTATTGTGTATATATTCAATTTTTATTTAACAGAAATTAGAGGACGGCATAATTTAATATCATATTTCATCTGTTTCTGTCATAATATTTGTGTATGTAGTATTTGCCACAATTTTGGAAATTCAAAGGTTTCTACGGAAAATTAAAGATAATACTGTGCATGCTATCATTTTGACTGAAAAGGTATTTGATAATTAAGGTCGTATTATCATAGAATTTTGAACTAATATATCTTTAAACTAATTCCTTTAATTACATGAAACATAACATTGTTCTTTATATCACTGTTATTAGCCGTATACTTATTCAACCCTGAAGGTACACGAAATTCCATTCTAATAGTATCTTATTTCGAGGTTGAACGAGGTGATAAGCAGTTTCGTGTCACGATGCAATTAAATTAATTAACGCACTGATAAGTATAATAGAATATCAAAGGGCGTGTACGTGGAAACTATGTCGCCAACTAAGTACATTGCGTAATTTTATTTACACGTTATGTACACTACTCTGCATATGTTAATCATATCTCTTGTGAAGTAGCAATGCAGTCTGATTTGGTGTATCGCGTTATGCGTATTCACCATGCATTCCGTGACTCTCGTGACCCCCTATTTGCACGTATCATAGATACAGTATCGTGCAAACGTATGAAGATAATCTCATTAAAGCTGAGCCTTGGAATATATCCACGTCTGTATAAACCAAGTTAAATACCTATCGTATTAAATATTTCTTCTTATTTGAACATTATACGCTATTGTTTGACACTCGTTACCGTAACTATAAATAAATTTCTCATCATCCAATCAAGCACTAGTCTGTGTATCATGAGTAATTCTCAACATCTAATCATGTATAAACAATAATCTCTTTGTTTATAACTTAATTAATTTCTTAACCGTGTGAATTTTCAACAAGTTATTTATATATACTTCGTTGGAAAAGGCAAATCAGTACTTATGGCAAAAGAAATTGCAGCTTATCATTTTAGCGAGACAGACTGCATCAGTCCTTCAATAATATTCTGAATGCTAAGTAGCTGATTGCCAGGTAACCATGGAATCTAGTATAAATTAGTAAAAGAAATCACAAATTTCACGTATATTATATAAATTTAAACTTCAAATAAAAATAAATTTGATATATTTTTCATAAAAACCAGCTAGTTATGAATGAAGTGATAAACTTCAAATTCTCTAAAGACTGACACAATTTAATGATATAACCCCATTGCACTCATTATATATCAATTTGAAGCTTAACATTTGTTGAAAGTGATTTTACTAATTTTTTGTTAATATATTTAATATAATATTTTTGATTGTCAGATAATCATTTTATTGTCCATTATAGAAAGTAATCGAAATCACGATCTTTTGCAGCCAGTTTAAGTTAAAAGCGTTTATAAAAAGTCATTTTTAGCAAACATTAAGATCCAAATTGATACATTAGAAGCACTACTTTATTTACAGCAACCTGACTATTTTAATAGCAGCAATCTGCTACTAATCAACCAAATGGTTCTCAATTTACGTTCACGTTGAAAGTCAATTAAAGATCAATACGCCACATGTAACTATTATTATAAATACGGAGGGAATTAAATTGCAATATATAACAAATGCATCGAAAATCAAAATCATAGTTATACATGTAATAATCTGCAACAATAATGAAACATTTCATAAAGAATACAACTAAAAGGAAACCGATAATGAAAGTACAGAAAAAGTGCAGTAAATAGTAAAACTCATGATTACGAAACATAGAAAATATAACTTTTTCTTAATTACTATAATAATATTAATATCTTCTTAGTAATAATATTGATAATAGTGATTTTCTATGTAACTACATAATATAGTCATTTATTTACTTCATGGAACACTTAAAGCACTGATTTATAATAAATAACAAATAATCGAATAAAAAGGAAAGAAGGTGAACATTTTCTTTCATTCTACATCGACAGAAGAAATTCTACATTATCAATCGACTGATAGTCGCAACTTTGTCCTGGCTGTTTAAAAAAATATTTTTACGAGTGAAACTTCTGGTAAATTGAAACAAGCCACGTGGTTAGCCCCGAGTTGCAGGGGCGCAAACAAGGGGACGATGATTTTCGGAAGAAAGTAGAAAGAACGTTTATAAAATCGACTGGGCGGTCGGTAAATGCTCGAAGTTTTGTCCTTTCACAAGTTCGCAATTTTCTTGGCTGGTTGGCCCTATTACCTGGCGCGTAACGTCGTGCAAACTTGCCCAACACAAGGGCAAAGCGAATAAACCTGACGGCTCTCCGCGGGAGAAATTCCTCGAGGAAGGCGAAAGCGTAACGCTAAAATTTTAATTCGTAACTTCGAGCAATAAGCAATTCCTAAACAAATTCACAGGCGCGATAAGTACTTTAACTTTGGTTTGCCTTTGGTTTGAACATTTCGGTGAATGTGCAGCATGACAGATAAACGAACTTTAATAATTACATAACGGACCATATAAGCGCACAACTGTAATCAGTTTAATTGGCTAGTTCATGAAAAAATACATGGAAAATGGAGAACTTGGTAATCTCCTTCATCATTCGACATATAGAAAAATTCTTTAAAATAGCTAAAGTTTTCATTAGTAGGTGCACATAATTTCGTCCTGCCAACGTTTATAGTAGGAAATTTTATGCTTATGTTTAGGTGAAAAATATAGTACAATGATATGAGGGAAGAAATATTAAAGAATTTATAACATTATTCTCCATCTCCAAACGTTAACATATCATAATAATTTTTGTACTTTAATTGATTAATTTTATTTACTTTAATTAAATTTACTTCGATTTACTTGATTGAAAATACGATATTTTATATTGATGTGCTATAAATGCTAATATTGATGCTTTTATGTCATCAAATCATATTAGACTAATACTGCAAACGTAAAATATTCCTTCACTGATAACTTTTCAATTGATATCACTAATAATTATTATAAGTATACATTGAAAAGTAAAATATCCACTAATAATAAAGAAAAAATTTTCTATTAATTTAGCATGCACCATAAAGTGCCAACTTTTACTGTTTATATTACTAAATGTCAATGTTGCGTAAAAAAAAAAGAACAGTTCTAGTTTTTTGAACAAACAATTCCACTTGATTACTAAGTTTGGCAAAATACGTGATAAGACAAACGAATCCAATAGAAGAAAGAGCAAAGCTAGGATAAGAAAGTTTTTTGTCATTTATTTTTTAATTCTGCGTTTTGTCTCTGGAAATGGATACAGACGGGGTGGCGAGATATGGCTGTTGGTGAGTAGGAATGACCGTTATACGAAGGTGGGGGTGGAAGGGTGAACGGCTACATAGGGGTGAGTCGGTTGATGTTGCGCTGAGCTAATTGCCAACCCCTTGGATTACGTCCCTTTGGATGGGGATCTCAACTTTCGACGGCGGCCGACCATCGAGAAATTGCTGTCTCCTCAATGATACCTTTTTCTTTTATTTTGGAAATTAAAAAAGAATGCTTCCAAGTGGAAGCTACGGATCCGTAGACGAACTACTCTGAGTGTTGAAAAAAAAACGAAACCTTTCAGGTTTAGAATGTATGACCAAATTTTGGTGATAAAATTTAAAACATATTTTGGAGTTTATAGATGCTTATAACTATACAGAAAAATGTAGACACAGGTTTTTTATTAAATGGCAGAAATATGGTGAGTAGATGTCCGATCAATTCATCTAAAATTACACTACATTGTCCTACATATTGCTGATTTATTCCTATTAAAAATTCATATTGAAAAATTTATACCTTTTATTAGTGCAAAATTTAGAGAATGAAATGAAAAATTGCAATAGTTAAATTTTTAATGCACATCATTTTGTAGAATTTTGATTTAATTTTGTTTTATCTTAATAGCAATATATATAATACTTATACAGATTAAATACGATACATATTTATATGGAATATATATAAAAATGAGAAATTTTACTGATTATTTCATTAAGGTAAGTTGACTTTTCGACTGTAACATAAACAAAAGTGTAAACTTTGTTCATTCAAACTAAAAAATATAATATTCCTTTAAAATGATCGAATTGTATAAAACATAAAATTTTCATTACAAACTTTAAATAAATTTAATAGAACATTAAATTTTTAGTAATTAATATTTCTTTTTATTGCTTACATTTATATCAACACTCAATACACTAGTAACCAGCTTATACTTAAGTAACAATTCATACAGAGTTGTCCATATTAGATGTCGATATGTATAAATATTTCATTGTTTAGACGTAATGAAACATTTTCAATAACGTACATTATATTAACATCTTCCTTTGTGTACTAAATAAGGCTGTATTTTCAGTGAACTGATAAAAGACTGAGCCTTAGACGATCTGCTCATTAAAGATTTATATGCTAACTTACCTGGAAGCGTCTCATATCGCGGGGATTGCCGGCATTCTTAAGGCAGTTTTGGTTGCACTTGAGGAAGAACTTGAGGAAGAATCTGAAAGCAGAAGGGACGAAAGTTAAACGGTTGACAAGGTGCTTAACACTTTTCAACGCCAAGAACTTAATTAAGACGCGAACTTGATTAAAAAGTGTAAATGCTGCAGTAGGTAACCGCAAGCTTCATTCTATTCGTCTGCATTATTTAGTATTTTTCTAGATTAAATCCCCAACCACGTGTTCTTCGACCTTTAGTAATATACGACAACTGAAATATAGTCTACTAAAATGCCAAAAGGGGCATTCGTCTAAAAATATGTGTTATTAAGGGATAAGGCCACCTTGGAGATTTTAAAATGATTGGTAGTTTCAGCAGTGTTTTTATATTAATATAAATACCTACTTTTTAAGTAAATATTTATTTCGTAGTTATGGGCAATAGAGTGTTAAAAAATCACCATTTCGATATTAGAATAAAAAAGAAAGGTGGAAAGCAGTTTTCTAGTCTAAAATAGTATATTAAAATAAATTCTCACGATTTGAAAAAAATTGTTTAAGTGATTTTCTAAATTGATTTTTTTAAAAACATTTAAAATGTTCGGTATACTTTATTTGATAAAAAGATATTTATAAAATCCTAAAGACTCATATGTTTTTTATTTTTTATTTTGTTAGTAACTTTCGTACAAAAATTTTCGTTTGAAACCTATATTTGGAAAGTTATGTATCAAAATTAAAGTTGATAATACGGATTTGGCAATTGTCCGCATTCTATGAAATGACCTTGGTTTAAAAATAATTATGATAAAAAAGACATTGTAAATATGTGCGAAATTTATTTGAACAATTCTATATTCCACTGAATTTGAAATTAATAAAAGTTATATTGCTCGGTGCATAGTTTTCAAAATTCCCTAATACTTAAAGGTGAATAAATATGTTATGCTTCCATATAAAGAATAAATAAAACATTAATATGAACTGTAAGGGATAAGACGTGATTACAATACTATACAAATATAGAAAATAATCAGATAAGTGATTATCAAATGCGCAGTTAAATTTTAACCAGAAAGTAAAACGAAATACATTGTAATATTATTGTAAAAAAATCCGTGACGATTTCAACAGTCATATGAAATTATAAGTAGTATCATACAAAAATAAGTGTTTCTGTTTTCAGCCAAGTTTCAATTTTCTAGTTTTTCGGTACAAATACTCGACTATGCGACGGCTCAGTTTCCATGAATTATGTAGAATTTCAGAGGAATATTGAATTGGAGGGAATTTTTGTAGAGACAGAATATCCGTGTTCGTGTTGACGGGTATGAAAAGGGAAGAAAGAGTTCTTCGAAGAGACAAAGTTATGGTGAGAGTGAAACGCGAATATTCCTATAGATCGAGAGAGTAGAGAAAACTCATAGGAAACAATCAGGAGGACCGAGACGATGAAGAGGTTCGAGGAACGAAGGGGTAGTTTTCTGGGTGGTTGGTAGGCCTCTCCTCCCATGGGACGCCATTGTCATTCCCCTACGTGCGTCCATACGATTCGGGGCTCCATCGAAAAATCAAACGCATACCTTCTAGAAGCGGTGGTGCTTGCTTTCTTTTTTTCTTTCCTCCTTGTTTGCGTGGAACGTCGAAGTGAAACTGTAGGAGGAGTTCGTCTGATTTCCATTCGTCGCCTCGATTCGTATCGACATCGTATTACTTTGTGTTTGTTGTTTTCTGCGTTCTTCGCGTTAAGAGGTAAATATAGGCGGTATACATAAAATGTAGTAAATTCTGGAATGTATAATCTCCAAGGAAATATAATCGTTTAGAAAGCAATTGATAATCATGTAATATTTATATGAGTTTATTAGGCTGCAAAATATTACATGATCGATTTCAAAACATCAAAAATGTTTTATTTTTCGTTCTTCTTCTCCGTCTTCAACGTTTTCATTTGTGTCTTTAGTAAGATGTTATGTAACTTCATAATTCTGATAAGTGGAGAAATATATTTTAAGGGTTGAACAATGGTTCACAGTGATTTTTGAAAATTTTGAAATTTTTATATTCCCTTTTAGATCCGAAATTTATTAACTTTGAAATCAGTCAAATATTTGAGTCTTCTAATTTATGACAAGTGATATTAGTTTTGTTTCTATTTTAATTTTAATCCGCAAAATTGAATCTCAAAATTTATCTATAAATTTTAGATTTAGCTAGTATAAATAATCAAATACTTAATTCCACTTATTTATTATAAGAAACGTTTTTAATGTTTTGAAAATTTTATTGTGTTGGATTTGAAAATTATCCAAGTTTCATCATCTACTCAGAAGATATCGATCAAGAAATTATTTAGGTTTACAAAGCGTTATTTTCCACAAACGACTTTTTTCACAACTTTACATAAATTAATTTACAAATAATAATATTTGCAAAATTTTATCTCGCACATAAATGTGTTTTGTAAAGAAACATTCAAACTTTAGAAACCAAATTTATCAAGTGCTTTTAAACATAAAGACTGTGCCGCTTCTGAAATACATATGCAATATAATAACTAATACACATCCAAGCGCAACTTCAACTTACTGACAGTATAACTGTCAATTCGTTCCACTTCGCGATATCGCACGCACCGATAACGACATCGAACCTGTGTATTATCGTGCATTACACACGGTCGACTATCTAAATGACACTTTTATCGTCGACTACGTTCATCCTGCGCAAGTTGTCAGCCGAGTCGGACGTTTGGCACGAAATCCATATAGCTCGAAAAGTGAAAAGTAAAAAAAAAAGAAAATGAAAGCCGATCGGAATCCTCCCTTATTCCGTGTAAAGAGTACGGAAGAGAATGTTGGCGGGATATATAAAGAGGGAAGGTGAAGGAAGAACAGCAGCGAGGGTATAGAGAAAGAGAAAGAAAAGGAGGAAGAGAAAGGGAAAGAAACGTATCGATCTCCAGTTTCATGCTTTTCGTATCTATCCGGTATCCATGGACTCTATATACTCTAGGTTCGTGTTAACGGCTGCCACTCGGCTGCTTTTAGAGCGTCGAGCGAATTTAATTTCGTTTACTGTTAGAGGACGTTAAGATCTTATCAAGATGCTGGATGGGTATTCAAAGCATTGTACTTTGGCTTATCGCCTGCTGCGGATCTTGCACTAAACACGATGTCTGTCGTGCCTGAGGCGTGGAGAACGACGACGGCTTCTGGTCTTTCGCAGATACGAACCCTATCGACCATGCCTGTAAGGTACCTATGTACGACAAAAGGTACAAAAATATAGGGTATATAAACCGAAAAGCGGTAAATCTACATTAAAAAATAAAGAAAGCAAATGTTCGGCCGCGAACCGAAGCCTTTGTTGCGATTAAGGAATTTACAACAGGGTTCAAGTGGTTCGGCGCGCGGACCGCCGTGTGTAGTTTATACCTCGAAATACGGGTCACCGAGGACCCTTTTGTCTCTCAAATCCTGTCCGAATCAGTCGTACTGTAAACACGTGCGTGCCATAAATCAGCTAACAGCTGTACTTCTCTTTTTAAACAGTTTTAACGAATGAAAGCATAGAGTGTTTCTTAACTGTCACCTTCGGAAACGCGAGGGTATTTAGGCGATTTTTCGTACAACGAAACAGTCAGTCGAACATTGAAGCTCGGACGAGTCAGATCGACAGTCGAAAAGTCAATCGTGAGTTCGAAAGTTCCGCGTAATCTAATATAACATAACCAATGCAGGGTGGTTCGGAAATCAATCACAACACCATTCGAGCGGGACCCTGCACTCCTCGAATGGGCCACGGTAGGGTGGTAAAATCATACATTGCAACATTATTCGAGTGAGTCCTATATTCCTTGAATAGATCATCACCACGGTAGGGTGGTTAAATCATACATTACACACTGTTCGGGTGAGTCCTACACTCCTCGAACAGGCCACGGTAGGGTGGTAAGATCATACATTGCAACACTATTCGAGTGAGTCCTACACTCCTCGAATAGATCATCGTGAATAATCTCACGCAAATCGAACAACATTGAACGAAATCCTGTTCTCCTCAAATCAATCCACAATCAACTTAACCATACACATAACGTATACATACTCGTACACATTTTCACCGTAAAATCGTTAACGAATACATATTTTTGTAAGGGGTTTTTTATGCCGCAAGGCTTTTTCCCCTAATTCGAATCACACGATCTAATAAATTATCATGATTTTTCAGGCTCAATTATGTCTATCAAATTTTTATTTACCCTCTTCCTCAATCGAATTCATCTATTCTTTGAAACACAAAATTTCTACATGTTGGAAAGATTTCGATGATACAGCAAAGTTGCTTAATTTTGACCAGATTCTAAATTTATAGTATGTGAATAGTCTTTATTCACATATAAAATTAACTTTGGTGAAATCTTTTAGCTTAGGAAGGTAACTTACCTTCAAAACAAGACAATGAAAAAATAGTATCTATTGCGTAATTAATGTAGAATAAATAGTAACTACACCATATTGATACATGTAATTTTGTCTTTACTTTATGTTAATTGCAATTCCTCATTGATAGATGAATTTTTAATCAGGGTGTCATTTTTTAAGAAAAGTCATATCTTTTTTATTATACAAAATTATATAAGCAAAAAATTTTATTTGATACTGAATTTTTGCTTATTATACATTACTGTATATTTTTATGATACTCTACTATATTTTTTTCTATCAAACTTTCCGAAGAATTGATAGAGAAACACAAAAAAGAAATTTAAATGTACTTTTCTTAAAATATAACTACATATATGTTGTTGACAAAATTTCCTTTTTTTGGAGTATTTTGTGTGAAAGGATATTACATTTTTGATGATAAAAAATCAATCACGCAGGTACAAAAATTAAATCGAAAATTGTGCTTCTAAAATACTTCCACTTTTTCTCATAACATTTTCTTATTGTTGACCTAATCAATACTACTTTCGTACTATGATATCAGTGTTAACAATATTTATTAGTAACATTATGTTACAAATTATCGTCAATGTGTAATCGATGTTATTAA